GGGGGGGGGGGGATTTAATCTACCAGCACGACTATTACACCTTGACGAAAGCTAAAGCCTCCGTCTTCAAAGAAAATAGAGAAAATTGAATGTCAATTTGACCTAGTTTCTTTGACATTGTGACATTACACTGGCCAGCTTGACGAAATGGAATTCGGCAACACACCATAAGAGCCTAACGAACATGCAGTTCTGATCATCAAAGCGTATTTAAAATTAGTAAATTTGCAACGGGCGCTAAAGAAATCACAACTTCATTCGAGTGGTGCAATAATTGTCATGCTACAATTATTTTCAGTAGCTATATTATCAAAGAGGTATACTTGCTGAGCATAAAGACGAATAGCGACTATCCAAATTTAAGGGCATAAATAAAGTTTTATTTCACATCTGTCGGAGTAAGATTTTTTGTAAATATAAGCAGCCTCATAAAATCTCTGATCACAAGTAAATCAGTAAAACAAAAGTCACTTTCGAAGTTTCTCGCGCTCTTTCATGACAAATAACCCGATCGCAGTTTACTTTGCACGGTTGATAAATTTTCACCAAAAAATAACGTGCTTTAGTGTTGAGCCGATGATTTAAAAATACAATTGCCGATCATTTTTCCTTCATTCACATCGAAAGGTCACCCCCCCCCCACACACCGATGAATCGTGTGGAGACAGGTGGGTACACCTATTTCTCCTTGGAAGGCCACTGAAATGTGCCATAAATTATCTAACGGCGACTCGGTTGGAAGGCGGAAATAGAGGAGACAAAACGCTCATCCTAAAACTAGTAGAACAGTGCTTCACCTCTTGCAGCGAGTAGGTCTGTGGAAAGTTACATAAAATAACCTGGAGATGATGAGGATGATGATTGATGTTGCTATTAGTGGAGAAAACACATTGGAATTTATAAAAAAGACGTAAATCGCGACTTAGACTCTTACCAGTCGTAGCATGGTTTGGAGGGCCATTGCTCAATTTCTCGCCACCGTTCATCGCCCCTCGGTCGAAGCAGGCCACAATTTGCCACTGTGTCGATGCTCTGACTGTTTGGATCTCGAATCAGATTATAACCAACACACCCGGGACCAGCAACTGTTCCAGTGGGGCCCCAAAGTACTCGACACCATTCATCGGGAGTGTTGCATCCACCGCGAATACAATGGGACTGAAAGTAATTAAAATAAAACAACATTTTGGGGTTTAAAGGTTCTCCATGTATATATATATATATATATATATTATATAACAATTAAATATCCCAGATGGATACAGCATTAACACCTGATTTGCCATAGGTGAAATTTTTCCAGGTGTACCAATTCCAGGCCAATTTTCCTGGGAGTTATCTAGTTGCATTCCTCCAAGCACATGATAGTAAAAGTTTATAGACGCGTGCTACAAACACACACACACACACGCGCGCATCTACGAACCTGATAGAGAAGTATGATCCAAAATTCAAATTCCAAAAAAATTGCGATTATTGTAATAGAGTCAGTGCCACCCATTTCTAGCTTTTATCTTAACAAACAATCGCAAAACTATAAGCAAAAGAATGGGATTTTCTTTAAGTGGAAAGTAGGAGTTTATAAAGTTCTTTACCGGACAAAAAAGCTGGTCTCAACAGAGGAAACCCGAACGAGGCAGGAATCGCTTTGAAGAAAATTGCTCTTAATGCGAATGTTAGTTAATTATAATGCGCAAAGTATCGTGCAAGACGAACTTGGTGCGTAAAAAGTGCAAGCAAGTCGAGATGACCTGACAAAAGAATAAATAACGCCACCCAACCACCCCCAATCGGCCACAAGTTCTGGAATATGGTGATGATGGTTTCAGCGATGGCCCAATGGAAGATTAAACATCAGATCAAATAAAAGATAAAGCCCCCCCCCCAGTTCTCTCCCCCTTAGGAGATCAAATAAAGTAAGAATCACGACACTATGGCCTATTTGCCAATTTCGTTAACAGTTTCTTCGCCCCTGTTTCATAATACTTTACTTGAAATTCCCCTCATTCAGACGCTTTTAAAGTCTTTTTTCGTTCTGCAATAGGCAATAGCAATGCCTTAATAGGACCAATCAGTTGGTGATCGTTATTCGTGTCCATTCACCACTGTATTGTACCAATAAGAATAAGCTAATGTACTTCAAAAAAGCGACAAACTGCCCACACTCTCAAAGGAATTAGGATTGAAAGTCAATCTTAGGGCTAGGGCGTTGACAAATTCAGGTCAAAGGTACGACCC